ATCTTACAGTGCTGTTCGATAAAAGTGAATCACCTGATTTTTTTTTTTACTAAATGTTCTCTTCTCCGATGAAACGAAAGTTGAGCTAAATTCAAAGGATTAAGCGATGTAAAATCAGAAGAACCTTCGAAAGCTCTTTGAAGTTAGCAGTAAGTACTGTCAAGCATTCGTTCACTATAATGTTCTGAGGTTGCTTTTCTTTTCATGGAACTAGTTTCTTCTTAAAATCTATTGAAAAGACCCTCAGAAGCGAGCAGTACAAGATAATTTTAGAGTCTTATCTGCTCCCTTCTGCTGAAAGGGTGCAAATCGACCTCACCAAGCTCAGTTTTATGCAGGATAATGCTCCCTGTCATAAATGAAAATTGATGGAGGAATACTTTGATGAGAAGAAGGTGAGTGTTATGACATGGCCGTCCCAATCTCCTGACCTCAACCCCATAGAAAACTTATGGAGCATTATAAAGTACAAGCTCTCGAGAAAGCAGTTGAGCAACAAAGAGGATTTGATTGTGAATTTCATATCCGAATGGAATTCAATGCTTGGAGATTAGATTTGCCAGAACCTAATCAAGTCAATGCTAAAAAGGGTTTAAATGGTTATTCAAAATAAAGGAGGACCCATAGATTATTAAATATTTCGAACTATATTACCTATTATAAATAAATTATACCTCTATTATTCTTTATTTAAATCTGTTCGGTTATGTTTCTATTGATTACTTGTTGCAGGAAATAAGTAAGTCACATTTTTTGCACAGAGTTTTTCCCTGAATCTCATTTATATCCAAAATTATAATTATCAATAGAATACTTCAGGGTGAGTAAACTTTTTTACTAGGTGGTCGGGAAGGGTCTTTATATTAGTAAGATTAAAAATTAGTTTGACCCCAAAAACAATAAGCTAAATAATTTTAGAAAAAAAAAAGGTGACCATGTTTGCCGTAGGCTCTGAATATGGAATCCATTGAAGTCCGTAATCTCTTTAATATCAGAGGTTGGCAGTGTAGATTCAGAGAAAGTAGCGGCTGTTAATTCTATAAGTCTTCGATATCAGGTTGGCAGTGAAGATAATTTGGTAGAAAAAACAAAATGGCTGCCTTTATACAGATCTCATTGAATATTTTGAGCGTTCTGATTGGTTAACCCTTCTATTGGTGAACTATAAAATGAGTCAGCTCATTTTGGCTAGCTCACTAGTACTAAAAACTATAAAAAAATTCCAACAAAAAATTCAGGTGAGTCACTTTTATCGAACAGCACTGTATATATTAGATCCACTTGAAATCTGGAGTAAGCTTTTAACCTCAATAAATGTTTAAATCAAGGGCCTAATTGAGGGCACAATTGTTTATCAGGGCTGCAGAAGGCTCGGGATCTGCTCGATATTCATAAAACTTTGTTATGGGGGTTATGTATATTACAAGCTAGTTCCTTGCTTATTGAACTGTGATAGGCTAAGTTTTTTTTAGCCATTTTTTACAGACAAGATTACATAATCCTAAAAGTCCTAAATTTGTGATAATTACAACAATGAGACAGGCAAGTGCAAATAAATTTCATAACGGTAATTCCTTATCCTAGACTTGTTACTACTTTTAAAAAGTTAACCTTGAATAAATGTTTAATGGCCTATATTGTTTTTACTACAACCTCTTTTGAGAGATGTGTGATTTTTATAAAGGCCAGACGGTTTGTGTAAAAAAACAAACGTTATACTTGTATGTATTTTTCGATTCGACGGTTAAAAACCCGCCAACATTGTGAAGGATACGTTTCTATCTGTTTATATTTATACACTGTGCCATGTGTCCTCAAGGATACATGGCACAGTAGATAAAGGCGTTAGTTAGATCCAATGACAGGAACCAATGAGTGTGAGTTCAATACCTGGTTAAGGCGGTGGAGAACTTCATAGAAGTATACGTAGCAACTGATTCAATGTAACTGCTCCAATCCATATCGGGAGAAAAAAAAGAGAACAAGAATGATTTGCTTGTCTGAGGATTAGAATCCTCCAAGTTGATAATAGATAATTCTCTTTAATTGGATAGCATTGAAATTCTCAAGCCTTTTCTTGCAAGAGTTAGCAATAAATAATTCTTGGACATAGTTATATTATTGCACTTGTTATCTTAATCTTTGTTATTTTTAATTGTATTTTCCTACTAAGATATTCTTTGCTTTGCTGTATCAAAGATAACGCTATTAGTAACAAGGAATCATTGCAGATACACACTAGAACGTTTTTTTTTTTCAAATGTGACTATATCTAACGCACTATAAACATAATAACTGACTGATTGATATGTGTTTTACAGCATATAAATACCGAGTATGTTATTTAAAGCCAAAATATATTTTGTATTATTAGAGATTGTTTGCAGCGTGTGTTATTTCCAAACGATAAACAATCTAAGTAGTGACTGCTTAAAATATGACACATTATTGCCATATACACATGATCATATTCCATTTGTAAAGAGGAAGTCCCACTCAGCTTCTTTCCCAGAAATGTTACGTTGTTGAACTTAATACGGGTGGATGCTTCTCTGATCGCTACACTATTAATGTTTTCAAATCTTCATTAACTTCATTCCATTTGTAATGAGGAAGTTCCATCCAATTTCTTTCCCAGAACTGTTTTCGTTGTTGAACTAACTACGATCGGATGCTTCTACTATCGTTATAATCTTAATTCTTTCTAATCTCGGATCAACCGTTATCTATCTTACATATGCCCATAATTTGTACTTTACTCATAAATTTTATGCTCTTGCAACAATACTTTACTTGCAAAATTGACGGATCATAGCCTGAATCCTTCATAAGCATAACTTTTAGAGTTTTAATCTTCTCACGCTGGTTGCCAAGTCTACAGGACCCTGCCCATACTTTTATTTAACCCATAAGCAGCACGGGAAATGTTCATGTCTTTCTTAATTATGTGAAAGTGGCTATACCAGATTAGGCTGGGATTTGAACTCGGCTTGCTGATTTCATCTCGACTGTTTTACTCGCAACACCCGCTCCTTCAAAAAACTGGTAGAAGTTACAAGGAATATACATCGGTCACTCGATTGATGCTTAGGAGAGTTTTAAGCATTTTTTTTTGTCCACGCAGCTATGCATAAATAACTGGGTAGTTGTCAGCTTCTTGTGTTGTATTGTAGTCCGGCTTACAGGAGGGGAGAGTGCCTCCACCTAAAATTCCAAATTTGTGGCAGACAAACGTAGAGTCTCCATGAATCTTTCGAGAAATGGAAACAAAAAATCAATTGTCACATGCATCATGAGACACTGGAAGCGATATATGCTTTGCATAAAAGTGGACATGGCAGTAATGGTGCAATTCGCAAGCAACAGGCTGGGAAAAATGTTGTCTCACACTTAAATTATAGCATGCGACCAATGTAGAAGAAATATGCGACAGAAATTTTAAAAGAAGACTATAAGATGCGAGGTATATATATATATATATATATATATATATATGTAAAGGTACGAACAATTAAAGAACCGCCAAGAAGTATATATTATATAGGTAGGGAATAGAAATGAAAAAGCCTAGCCGGAAAAAGTTGTTAAAAGAATGAAGAAAGTCGGAAGAAAGGGTTCAAAAATAAGAAGAAGAACAATGATGCAAAAGGAAAAAAAGTTAAAAGAAATAAAGAAGGCAGATAGAAAGGAAGAAAAAAAGGAAAAATGAATAAAAAGGAGAGAAAGCATAAAAGAAAGAAAAATGAATAAAAAGGAGAGAATGGGTAAAAAAAAAAGAAAAAAGAAAAAGGGAGAATATGGATAAAAGAAGGAAGAATGAATAAAAAGGAGAGAATGTGTAAAAGAAAGAAAAAAAGAAAATGGGAGATAATGGATAAATGAAGGAAAATAATTAAAAAGGAGAGAAAGGATAAAAGAAGGAAAAATGAATAAAAAGGAGAGAAAAGATAAAATAAGAAAAAATTAATAAAAAGGAGAGAATGGGTAAAAGAAAGAAAAAAGAAAAAGGGAGATAATTGATAAAAGAATGAAAAATGATTAAAAAGGAGAGAAAGGATGAAAGAATGAAAAATGATTAAAAAGGAGAGAAAGGATAAAAGAAGGAAAATGAATAAAAAGGAGAGAAATGATAAAAGAAAGAAAGAAAGAAAATGGGAGATAATGGATAAATGAAGGAAAAATGATTAAAAAGGAGAGAAAGGATAAAAGAAGGAAAATGATTAAAAAGGAGAGAAAGGATAAAAGAAGGAAAAATGAATAAAAAGGAGAGAATGGGTAAAAAAAAGAAAAAAGAAAAAGGGAGATAATTGATAAATGAAGGAAAAATGAATAAAAAGGAGAGAAAGGATAAAAGAAGGAAAATGATTAAAAAGGCGAGAAAGGATAAAAGAAGGAAAAATGAATAAAAAGGAGAGAAAAGATAAAAGAAGGAAAAATGATTAAAAAGGAGAGAATGGATAAAAGAAGGAAAAATGAATAAAAAGAACGAAAGGATAAAAGAAGGAAAAATGATTAAAAAGGAGAGAAAGGATAAAAGAAGGAAAAATGATTAAAAAGGAGAGAAAGGATAAAAGAAGGAAAATGAATAAAAAGGAGAGAAAAGATAAAAGAAGAAAAATTAATAAAAAGGAGAGAATGGGTAAAAGAAAGAAAAAAGAAAAAGGGAGATAATTGATAAAAGAAGGAAAAATGAATAAAAAGGAGAGAAAAGATAAAAGAATGAAAAATGATTAAAAAGGAGAGAAAGGATAAAAGAAAGAAAAATGAATAAAAAGGAGAGAAAGGATAAAAGAAAGAAAGAAAATGGGAGATAATGGATAAAAGAAGGAAAATGAATGAAAAGGAGAGAAAGGATAAAATAAGGGAAAATGAATAAAAAGGAGAGAAAAGTTAAAAGAATGAAAAATGATTAAAAAGGAGAGAAAGGATAAAAGAAAGAATATGTATAAAAAGGAGAGAAAGCATAAAAGAAGGAAAATGAATAAAAAGGAGAGAAAGTATTAAATAAGGCAAAATGAATAAAAAGGAGAGAACGGTAGAGAAAAGGTAAAAGAAAAAAACAAAGGAGAAAGTATAAAATAAGAAAGAAGGATAGAAAAAAATAAAAGAAAGGCAGATAAAAGAAGGAAAAAAGAAAAAAGGAGAGAAAGAATAATATAAGTAAAAATTAATAAAAAGGAGAAAAAGTATAAAAGAAGACAAAAAGAAGTGAAGGACAAAAGAAAAGATAAAAGAAAGAAAATAAAAGAAAAAAATATAAAATAGGGTCCAAGTATAGAAAAATGATGAGAGAGATGAAACAAATCAAATGAAAGAAAACTAAGCAATGAAAGAACGAAAAAAAACATAAAAGTGAGACAGACAGACAGATACAATAATAAATAAAGAAAATCAAAAAGAATAGAAGAAAGAGAAAAATAGAAAATATAGACAAGGAAGAAGAAAGAATGAACAACAAAATGGAACGACTGAAAGGAAATAAAATATAAAGAATGAATAAAGTACGGAGAGATAAAAAAGTGGAAGTGAATGAGCAAAGATAGAGACAACGTAAAATAAAGATTCTACCTGAAAGAAATTAAGAAAGAATAAACAAAGAAAATGAAATGGGGAAACAAATAATGAAAGTAGAAAGGAAGAATGAAACCAGGGCGAGAGAGAGAGAGAGATCAACAGACAGACAGACAGACAGACAGACAGGGAGATAAACAAACAAATGAGGAAGGAGAGAAAGAAAGAAAGAAAGAAAGAAAGAAAGAAAGAAAGAAAGAAAGAAATAAAGAACCAATCAGATGAAAAGACGTAATAAATAATAAATAACAAAAAAAAATAATGTATAGAAAAAAAAACTGAAAGAAAAAAAAGGAAGATTAAAGATCCAACCAACAGACAAAAAAAAAAAAAAAAAAAGCGTAAAAACCTCTCCAACTAGAGAAAATAAGAGAAAATGAAAGAGGAAAAAGACAAAGAAAGAGAGAATGTTCTGGTTTGAGATAGCAAGAAATGCAACAGATGAAGTAATGAACAAATGAAGGAAATACATGCAATGACAAAAGTACGCAGGTGTTGGCTTTAAGAAATCGTTATTCAATTGAGAATATGAGGTTCACTTATATTGTCCTTTTATTGTCCCAGCAAACATGTAATAGCACTCTCAAAGAGGAGAGTAACGAAACAAGGGTAGATCACTCTTGATTATTCATAACTATACATCTAAAAGTAATTGAAAGAAAACAGAAATCTATAGTTTTAAACAAATGCAACATCAGCTAAAATAACAGCATAACAAAATCAGAAAATAAAAAAAAAATAAAGAAAGACAAAACAAAATCTAAATGGAATGAACAAAAAAGGATAAGAAGAATAAAATAAACAGGAACAGACTAGAAGCAGCGAATAAACGGAAGAGAATGAAAAAAAAAGAAAATTCTGTAAACTAAAAAAGGGAATCAGAAAAAAAAAAGAAAAGGCGAGAAAGAAATTTTAAAAATATGAAAAAAAAAAAAAAGAAAAAAAAAGAAGGAAGTGAACAAAATAAAGAACAAAAAAAAAAACAAAAAAAAAAAAAATAAATATATATATATATATATATATATATATATATAAGAAAGACGTAGTTAAGAAAAGTAAAAAAAGAAAAAAAAAAAAAAAAGAAAGTGAAATAAAACAGGAAAGAAAAAAGCGCAAAAATATACATATATGTATGCATAATTGTGACGGGTATAGTAAACAATGAAAACAATAATATTTAACAGGAAGGATTGCGACAAAGAAAGAAAGCAGTGTCTTCGAAAAGGGGAAAGGAAAGTTCTATTTCTTTGCTGAAGATTCTTTCCTTGATGACGTTTCACTCTCGCAATTAAAGCAAATCTCGCGGGAAACTCGTGAGACAGCAAATCGATATTGTTATTCGATGAGTCCGGCGAACCGCTGACAATTGAGGAGCGACGGGAGAGAGATGCGCCTTTGTCAGAAGGGGCGATGCCAGCCTGCGCCAGCTTTTCACAGTCATAGCGTCCAATGAACTCGTTTGCCACTACAATATAGAAAGGGAAAAAGATGTGGGAAAAAAAAAAAGAAGACGTCCGTTCCGGAAGCTTCTCGTCCAGTCTCATCTTTCATTATTTTCTTCTTTGATTATTTCCTTCGCATTGTTTCCTAACCTCTTCTTCTCTTTTCCTTATGCATTTTTCTTCATATTTTCTTTCAAACTCTTCATTTTTAAGATTCATAATTCGTCTTCGTTACTTTATCATCATCATCATAATCATCATCATCATCATCATCATCATCATCATCATCATCATCTTCTTCTTCTTTCATGAAGTATCATTTTCGGCACCATTTTTTTTTTTTTTTCAGCCACGGTGAAGACGGTTGCGGATAGCGGCTCAGATTGAGGAATCGGAAAGGTGTGTTCGAATTCCAATCAAATTTCCATTAAATTCACATTACATTCTAAAAACCTTTGGAAAGGCATGAATCTTTTTTAATATACACCCAGCTATGGGTAAATAGCAGGACAGACCGGGTTCTATATTGGATATATACTGGTCGATCGCATAAAGAAATGGCAACCTACATCTGCAAAAAAAAAAAAAAAAAAAAGAATGCCTCGTCAGTCATGAATCGAAAGATACAAAATATCGCCTATGTAAAATAATTCATGGCACATATCTGAATGAAAACATTTTCTTTCAATTTCAATCTTTTCTTATACATATTTAAGGTCATATGTCTTCGAAAAGGGAAAGCTAAGTATCTCTTTTTTTGATGTGTAAGATCTTTCACTTGATGACGTTTCATTAGTTTTCAAATTTATGTTATATTACATTCTGTCTCTTGGGTTTGCTATTTTATTCATGTATTATTCTTCACATATTCTTTTTTTCTAATTTAATTATTCTTCGTGTCCATATTTTTGTCAATTTCGATGCTTCACACCAGCTTTTCAATTTATCCCGTCCAATTTCTTTTTTTTCTTATATTCTACTTATTTTACATTAAAAAAAAAAGCATCCGTTATTATATTTCTCGTCCAGTCCTTCTTTTTTCATTATTTAATTCTTTGATTATTTCCTTCGCATTGTTTCTTTCATTTTTCCTCACCATATTTCTTCTCCTTTTACTTCTATCACGTCTCTCTGTTGATTAACATGTAGAGAATCCTTCAATGCTTCTCCTTTTATCATTTTTCTGTTCTGGTTTCCTCGGTGTTTTCTTCTTCTTTTCTAATTTTCTTCTTCTTCTTCTTCTTCTTCTTCTTCTTCTTCTTTTTTTCTTTCATGAAGGATAATTTTCACACAAGTAATTTATCCCGTGTCTTTTCTTTTCTCTCTTATATTCTACTTATTTTTGCATTAACTTTTTAGCATGTTATTATTTTTCTACGTTTCCTTCTTTTTTTTTGCATACTTAATTCTTTCTCATTCATTTTTACTTTCTTTCCATTTTTTTTTATTTTATTATTGCTATTTTTCCTTTCGTCATATTGCTTCTCTTTTTACTTCAATCTTGTCTCTCTGCTTATTACCATGTATTGATCCCTTCATTGGTTCTTTTTCCTTTATCATTTTTCTGTCATAGTTTCCTCTTCTTTTTCTTTTCTTCTTCTTCTTCTTCTTCTTTTTCTTCTTCTTTCTCTTCTTCGCTTTCTTATATTTCCTTCTTCTTCTTTTCTTATTCTTCTTTTTCTTTCTCTTCTCCTCCTCCTCCTCCTCCTTCTTCTTCTTCTTCTTCTTCTTCTTCTTCTTCTTCTTCTTGTTTTTGTTCTTCCTGTTGTTGTTCTTCTTCTTCACCAAAACCTCCTGATGATTTTACTATTGTTCTTATATTTTATACGTGTTTTTGAATTTTCTTTTCATGATTCATACACACACATGCATATATATATATATATATATACCTTCCTAATATTTTCTTCACATTCAATGTCTTATATTCTTTTATTTCCAATATAATACTTGTTGCTGTATCCTTTCTTAATCTTGTCTATTTGTTATACTAAATATGCACATCTCATTATTCTTTTTATCGTGTGTAAATTCTCGTTTATTCTTTTCTTCTTTACTCCAAATCATTTCACAGCTTTACCTATTCCTCTTTCCTTAGATATAATCCACTTAATATTCGAATCGAACATGAAACTTTTACATTTTCTTCTTCTTTTTATACAATTCTTCCTCGTTGTTAGTTATTTTTTTGTCTTTGTCATTTTATTCTTCTTAATTTTTGTCATTTTCTTTTTCTTTTTCTTCTTCTTCTTTGTCATTTTATTCTTCTTCATCTTTGCATTTTCTCTTATTTCTTCTTCTATGTCATTTTATTCTTTTTCATCTTTGTCATTTTCTTCTTCTTCTTCTTCTTTGCCATTTTCTTCTTCTTCATCTTTGTCATTTTCTTCTTCTTCTTCTTCATCTTTCTCATTTTCTTTTTCTTCTTTATTATTTAATTCTTCTTCATCTTTGTCATTTTATTCTTCTTTTTCTTTTTCTTCTTCTTCTTTGTCATTTTATTCTTCTTCATTTTTGTCATTTTATTCTTCTTCATCTTTGTCATTTTATTCTTCTTTTTCTTTTTCTTCTTCTTCTTCTTTGTCATTTTATTCTTCTTCATTTTTGTCATTTTCTTTTTCTTCATCTTTGTCATTTTCTTCTTCTTCATTTTTGTCATTTTATTCTTCTTCATTTTTGTCATTTTCTTCTTCCTCTTCATCTTTGTCATTTTATTCTTCTTCTTCTTTGTCATTTTCTTCTTCTTCATCTTTGTCATTTCCTTCTTCTTCATCTTTCTCATTTTCTTCTTCTTCTTCTTTGTCATTTTATTCTTCATTTTTGTCATTTTCCTTTTCTTCTCTGTCATTTTCTTCTACTTCTTTGTCATTAACAACTTCTTCTTTGTTATTTGATTCTTATTCTTTTCTTCTTCTTTCTCATTCTCTTCTTCTTTATTATTTTCTTCTTCTTCTTTGTCATTTCCTTACACTTCTTCTACTTCGTTGTCATTTCCTCTTCTTCTTCTTTGTTATTTTCTTATAATTATGTTTTGTCATTTGCTTCTTCTTCCTCTTTGTCATTTGCTTCTTCTTCTTTTCAAGTTTCTTCTTTTTCGACGTTTTCTTCTTTTACTCATCCGCTTCTTCGCCCGTTCTTCTTTGTCTTATTTGTTACTTTTCTTCTTCTTCTTCTTACTCAGCCAACCGTCACCTTTCTTCTTCTTCTTCTTCTTCTGCTGCTGCTGCTGATGATGATGATCCTATTGTTGTTGTTGTTGTTGTTGTTGTTCTTCTTCTTCTTCTTCTTCTTCTTCTTCTTCTTATTCTTCTTCTTCTTCTTCTTCTGCTGCTGCTGCTGATGATGATCCTATTGTTGTTGTTGTTGTTGTTGTTCTTCTTCTTCTTCTTCTTCTTCTTCTTCTTCTTCTTCTTCTTCTTATTATTATTATTATTATTATTTCTATTATTATTCTCCTCTATTCATCCACCTCTTTTTCCTTTCTTCTTTCCCCCCCTACATTTTTTTCTGTTCATCTTCTTCCTCCTCCTCTTTTTCTTTGTTTTTTCTTCTTCCCCCCCCTCTCCTCTTCCTTGTTTTTTTTATTCTTCCTTTCTCTTCCCTTTTCTTTCTTCATTTTCATCCTCTTCTTCCTCTTCATTGTTTTTCCATTCCTCCTTTTTCATCATCTTCCACCTCTAATTTATTCTTCCTCTTCTTCCTCTTCATTGTCTTTTCTCATTCCATTCCTCCTCTTCTTCTTCCCTCCCATTCCTCCTCTTCTTCTCTTCATTGTCTTAAATTTTTTTCCTCCTTTTTCATTGTCTTACCTTCCATTTCCTTTCCCTCTTCGTCTTTCTCATTCCATTCCTCCTCTTCATCCTTTTTTGTCTTTTTATATCTTCATTCCTTCCTCCTCTTCTTCCTCTTCATTGTTTTTTCCATTTGTTTTTTTTCATTATTCATTCCTCCTCTTCATCCTCTTCATTGTCTTTCTCATTCCATTCCTCCTCTTCTTCCTCTTCATTGTCTTACTCATTCCATTCCTCCTCTTCATTCTTCATTGTCTTACATTCCATTCCTCCTCTTCTTCCTCTTCATTGTCTTCATTGTCTTTCCTCCTCTTCTTTTCCTCCTCTTCATTCTTCATTGTCTTACTCATTCCATTCCTCCTCTTCATCCTCCTCTTTTCATTGTCTTTATCTCATTCCATTCCTCCTCTTCTTCCTCTTCATTGTCTTACTCATTCCATTCCCTCTTCTCCTCTTGTCTTCTGTTCATTCCTCCTCTTCTTCCTCTTCATTGTCTTATTCCATTCCTCCTCCTCTTCTTCTCTTCATTGTCTTACTCATTCCATTCCTCCTCTTCTTCCTTACTCTTCATTGTCCTCTTCTTCCTCTTCATTGTCTTACTCATTCCATTCCTCCTCTTCTTCCTCTTCATTCTTTCATTGTCTTTCATTCCATTCATTCTTTTCATTCCATCCTCCTCTTCTTCCTCTTCATTGTCTTACTCATTCCATTCCTCCTCTTCTTCCTCTTCATTGTCTTATCATTCCATTCCTCCTCTTCTTCCATTGTCTTACCCATTCTTCTTCCTTCTTTCATTGTTCTTTACTCATTCCATTCCTCCTCTTCCTTCCTCTTTCATTGTCTTACTCATTCCATTCCTCCTCTTCTTCCTCTTCATTGTCTTCCATTCCTCATTCCATTGTCTTTTTCTCCTCCTTCTTCTTCCTCTCTTCATTGTCTTACTCATTCCATTCCTCCTCTTCTTCCTCTTCATTGTCTTACTCATTCATTCCATTCCTCCTCTTCATTCCTTTTCATTCATTCCTCTCTTCTTCCTCTTCATTCCATTTCCATTCCTCTTCATCCTCTTCTTCCTCTTCATTGTCTTTCATCCTCATTCCATTCCTCCTCCTTTCATCCTCTTCATTGTCTTACCTCATTCCATTCCATTCCTCCTCTTCTTCCTCTTCATTGTCTTACTTTCCATTCCTCCTCTTCATCTCTTCATTGTCCATTTCCATTCCTCTTTCATCCTCTTCATTGTCTTACTCATTCCATTCCTCCTCTTCATCCTCTTCATTGTCTTACTCATTCCATTCCTCCTCTTCTTCC